TACCAATATTGGACACTAGCACATAGTAAGCTCCACTTACACTTACACTATCTTTGTAATCTTTTTGTTTAATATATCTTTCTTACCTCTAATCTGTGTCCCGTGTTTTCCTTCCGTGGTCCCAACTTTGGGCCCACATCACCATTCTATAGCATCTATGATATCAGATGAGTGTTTTACTGTCTTTATTCAACAACCGAGAAGAAAGATGGAAATCGGAGCTGAAATTTATTTTCAAAGTAAAATAACACATTGATGGATTAGACAAGTATTTAGATTTACTCAGAGTGTATGATTTCCAAAGAGATACCTCCAGCCGACAACAAAATTCATTGTAGGAGTAAGGCCCGCTTCTTTCTATGTACCTCGTATTGTTGAAAAAGCACACCAGCGTGTTCGAAAATTCCGACGTTAAAATCTTACTCTATGTTCTTCAATTCAATCAAAAGTTTAACATATAATAAATATCAATTTTATTAAGAATATTGTTACCATTTTATTGGCTTTTAAGTCTTCAAACTTTATTAACCACCGTATTAAATCTATCTATCTATCTATCTATCTATCTATCTATCTATCTATCTATCTATCTATATTCAAGAAGAATACTTTTAATGTAAAAAGACATTTTGTGTCGAGAAATTTCACTGTTCAAATTACAAGTGATCCTGTACACACAAGGAAGACATTTCCGCATATTCCGTGTGAAATACAAGGCTCATAAAACATTCCAAAATAGAAAAGCGGCCACTCCTGACCAACCTAACGATGCAAAAAGATATAAGGTCCTACCCACTAACTCTATCCCAACTACACCAGAAAATAATTTATTTAAACTTAACGAAAATATTGGCAGAAATACATCTAAAACAATAAAATACTTAGGACAAAACAAAACACTTCACGAACGAATTTACTCACTTGCAATGATTGCCAGAAAGTATATATTGGATAAACCTCAAGAAGTTTCAATAAAATATTATATGAACACAAAAGAGACTGAAAAAATAACCAACAAAAACACAACACTTCAAACGCATTAATTACTCACCTTAACAAGACTGATCACAATTTTGGCATAAAAATGATCCTCTAATTAAAAGAGAAAATCTTCAGAAAGTGCGTTAATCGCTAATTTATCCAAAGTAAATTCACCTCACGATTCCTATAAAGTTTTACCATTCTTTGCATATTTTTTTCTTAATGTGGGATATTTAATAACAAAGATTGTGGGAACAAATATATGTAATCATATGTCCGTAAATCCTTCGTTTTTGTGTAATTAATTTTAAAGTTTACGGTAGACGCTATTAAATGTACAAGCTAATATACAACCCAACATCGTTCTACAAATGAGTGGCGTGTCCCTGATACAAAAACAAGGTAAAATGTCCATTCAAACATGCCCAAAAGGCCATTATTCTACATCAACACAGCAACTCATAGGAAATGTTCAAAATGTCCCCCTGATTGCTTCTACGCACGTATAAACCCGTCGAATCCTTGACAGGTGGGCCCATTCAAATACACCCAAACAGTTTGGAATAGTTTTGTAATCCCCCATGACACGTTGATGAAAACTCTCTTCGGAGAAACGTGCAGACCATGGAAGAGGTCATTTTTTACCTATCCATCTTTCATGGCAGACATCAACCAGTGACTATAATATGCTGGATCCGCATTAGGCATGAACCACATGCGTTTTCATATTAGCAGGGATACATCCACGAGCAGGTCTGGATGTATACTTGGAATAAAGCCCCTGAAGATAACTTTTTAAAGACGTTCTAGAAGAACATCTGTACTTACCAGACAGCCACCTAAAATTCCAGGGCATACATTAATAGTAAACTGATGTTGGTGTCTAGTCTGGTTTGTACTATAAGGATTCAGACCCATCCAAAAAGTTTGGTTGTGTAAATTTGTTATTCCAGCTTTCTCTAATGTCCCCTCAGGCGTAAACAAGACCGAAGTGACAAACAACGGACCTGCAGTTTCTGAAATAAAACATTGGTAAAAGACACATGGAGAGGGATCAGAGGGCCAAGGACTCTGCAAATTTTGGAAATGATACGGATAGAGACGCTGCTATTCAAGTACCATCCCTGCGGTACTAGGTGACGTATGACATGGGCTGATAGCATACAAACACGGACACGCGCACACACACACACACACACACACACACACACACACACATATATATATATATATATATATATATATATATATATATATATATATACACCTGGCTTTTGTGAGTCTCTATTATAATGTATCTATGTTTCTATGTGTGTATCTAATTTGTTTATATATCTATATAACTTTTTACATTATCTGTCTGTCAATCTAATTCGTTTACACTATCTATCTATCTATCTATCTATCTATCTATCTATCTATCTGTCTGTCTGTCTGTCTGTCTATCTATCGCTTCCAGTCTGCTTTTATCTGTATCTCTGTGCACCTCTCAATATCTATCTGTCTATCTATCTATCTATTTATTTATCTATCTATATAACTATCTATCTATCTATCTCTCCCAGTCTGCTTTTATCTGTCTCTCTGTGCACCTCTCAATATCTATCTATCTATCTATCTATCTATCTATCTATCTATCTATCTAATTTGTTCACATTATCTATCTATCTATCTAACAAGAGATACGATATAATTGTTGATAAGTTTGAACTAAAATGACATAGATATTAAAAACAATCTACTAGAAATGCTGCATAAAACAATATAGGATCGAATCAGGAGGGGAAATGTGTCGACTTAAAGTAAAAGAAAAATTACCGTTAACACAAAAATTCCAAACAGTAGAAAGGAAAAAGCGTGTTTGCGGAAACCGTATTGATAATGAATAAAAAAAAAACTGAGACTAAATTAAAGAATATAAGAGCGAATAATTTGGAAACGGGCAAGAAATATCTGGGTGAAGTTTAACAGGGAATGGGAGATCAACGTTGAAGCAGACGAGGGCAATCAATAAAACTCTAAATCCGAACGCAGACAAGACTACATTGATAAATTTCAACATTTATTTTCTTACATTCTTTTTATTTGGGCCCGAGCAAAAGATGTATATTTGAGCGCCTCCTTCTGTGTGTAAACAATTGTGTGTGCGTGTATGTGTGTATGTGTTTGTGTATTTTCCTTTATGGTCTTTGTCCCCTCTGTTCATTGCTTTTCCATCTGTTCTTATTATTTAATATATTGGGGTTTGTTTTTCTTTTTGAATATCTCTCTTTTTCTCATGCATCAGTGAATGCGTTTCCCTATATTTTATTGCCTCAGCTTATCTCTTTCATTATGATATAGATTTCCACTTTAGTCTTACATCTTGCATATATATATATATATATATATATATATATATATATATATATGTGTGTGTGTGTGTGTGTGTGTGTGTGTGTAAAAATATATAGAAAATAGGAAAGAACTTGTTATGTAAATAATCCAAAGTTCTTTAGTATTTTTGTTTTTATTTTTAAAAAAATAGTGCTCGATACAAAAGTAGAGCATAAATATAATTATTTATTTAAAATATCATTCCAACGCTACATAAGAGTTCTCATGTTTCAAAACAAGAGCCGAAAACTTCAATATAATTATTTGAATTAAATTGAATTAAAGTACCAAGCTCTGTTCCATCTTTAAGCGAATTTTTTTTGGGAATAACTAATTCCTGAAATTTACGCGTTTTATAAGCATATTCATTATTAAAATTAAAATTACTGTGGTAATGGCTAGAGCAATTATTTCAAGAAAAGAGGCGTAAGGGTTAATAATTTGTATCAATATCTCAGTTACATTCAAAGACTTCAAGTCAGGATAAGGTTGGGCTGTCTAAATGCAAAGCGGAAGACGACATCGTCTAGTCTGTTTAAGTGTCTATGGAGATTTCTTTTTATTTTTTATTTTTTTCTGAAAGGGTTTTGTGTATATAAAAAAAACTGTCATATTTCGTTAACATTTGCTTTGTTTATATATTCTTGAGATGAGGTATTATGTACACTATTTACATTATTCTGACAATTGTTGTCATCTTTCTCGCCATATTTATTACAACGCTTCGGCCTTTGTACGCTCCACAAAGAACCTGAAGAAGGCCGGTGCGTACAACGGCTGAAACTTTGTAATAAATATGACGCGAAATATGGGGAATATGGTCCGAATAAAGTAAAATATATATATATATATATATATATATATATATATATATATATATATATATATATATAATACACGCTCTATCCTTTCTACTGTTTGTAATTTTTGTGTTTTCTTTTGCATTAAGTCGACACATTTTCCTCGTGATCCGAAAATACATTGTTTTATGCAGCTTTTCTAGTACATTCTTTTGAATATATACCTCATTTCATTTCAAAATTATCACCAATTATATCGTCTCTCTCTTATATATATATATATATATATATATATATATATATATATATATATATATATATATATTCTTCTACTTCTACCTCTTCTTTTACTTTTTTTCTTCGTTGGCCGTAATCTACGTTTATAAACATTTCAGCATGCTAAATTAATAGTGGTGTATAATTTTGCAGTTTATTACCTTTTGTTTGTATTTTATTTAATTATTTCTAAATTCCATGGTCTTCTGTATTAACTTTAAAATTCTGCAAAATAATATTAAAGATTAGAATATCATGTAATGTTGGCTATATAACATTTTCTTTTGAAATACCCCAATTTCATTACATTCATTTTTATCTCCTAATTATGCTCATGTCATAAAATTATTTTTCTTCTGACGATCATGGCCCGGAAAAAGTTCCTGCCCTTTATAAGTCTTAATACAGATTTGATTGTTAGGGAGCATGACTTGGAATTGATAGTGGAGTGGTTTCCCGTTCCTTTGAATTTCATTGAGACAACGATTCTAGTTAGCATAACTCAGCCCTCTGAATATTGTCTCAGATTAGATTGAAAGTATTTAGGAAAAAAAAATATTTGAAAGACAAGTTTGGTACATTTCTTAATCAATTTTCTGAGGTTACAAAGTAATTAATCTGTGAACTTGAAAGGATCACATCGAAAATGAATCGATATTATATGTCTAAATTATTTAACCAAACTTGTTTGAATTAAAATATGCTGCCTAAATATACACACTACATATATATATATATATATATATATATATATATATATATATATATATATATATATATATATATATATGTATGTATATATATATATATATATATATATATATATATATATATATTAAGAAATGGACAAAGTCCGACAATTTATTTATTAAAAGACATTTTTATGTTTTAACGTTCTTTTTTATAGATACAAGTATTTAAGTATATGCTCTGTTTATAATAAACAGTATTAAATAACATTTACTGGCCTGAATTTTTTCTATGAAAATTTCTCGGACATTCTGGCCGGTAAATGTTATTTAATACTGTTTATTATAAACAGAGCATATACTTAAATACTTGTATCTATAAAAAGAACGTTAACACATAAAATGTTTTTTATATATATATATATTTATATATATATATATATATATATATATATATATATATATATATATGACTTAAATTGTAATGCGCTATACATT